GCAGCATTTAGTCTAGGATTCAGTTACTTTGTAAATGAAGCAAAACCCTTCTGAGTACCCGATGTCCTTGAATTTGAGGTTTTCCAGTCTGGTCCGTAGGACCAGCTGTCACACTGTCCTGGTGTGAGCACAGGGCTCTATTCCCTCTTGTCCTTCCTGTGGCTTGTTCCTGCCCCAGGTTCCTCACACAGGCACTGGTCAGGCGGAGACCCCAGGGGTCCCCTCTGGTGGTCAGCATCCTCTCTGCAGGCTCCCGTGCCCAGCACACTCAGTCCTGCCAACTCGGGCCTCCTTGGTCCTCTCTTTGGACTCGGAGTTCCAGCTGCTCCTCCCAGGTGGTCACCACGATGCATCCTTCCTGCTCCGCCGCTGGAAACCCACAGCAGTGAGTGCTCACTCCTCTCGGGATCGCCGGCCTGCCCTGCATAGCACCAGGGTCTTGAAAACCAGTGTTTCGTATATTTTGCGTTTTCTTTTTCTCCCCTCCCCTCCCCTCCCCTCCCTCCCCTCCCCTCCCCTCCCCTCCCCTCCCCTCCCCTCCCCTCCCCTCCCCTCCCCTCCCCTCCCCTCCCCTCCCCTCCCCTCCCCTCCCCTCCCCTCCCCTCCCCTCCCCTCCCCTCCCCTCCCCTCCCCTCCCCTCCCCTCCCCTCCCCTCCCCTCAGTTGTTTCAGATGGGAGGGCAAGTTGGGTCCCTGATAGACTATCTTGCCCCCAACCAATTCTCCTTTTGTCTTTATTTTTGAAGTGGGGAATTCTCCATAACTTTCTCACAGGGTGTTTCTTGAGGTCACTCAGCGTAAGAAACACCTGCCTCAGAAACGCGTGGGACACTTATTAAAAATGCAGATTTCTGAGCTGCCCCTCAGCTCTGCTCCACCGGACTCTCTGGAGTGAGGCCCAGATGGCTGCTGTTGAAACAGTGCCCACGGTTAACTCGAGGATTTTCTAGAACAGCAGCTTTGAATCCGTGTGGCCCGGCACCCTGATGCACCACTAGAATTTTGAAAACATGCAGTACCTGACTGTTTAGTCAAGGGCACTGACCTCTTTCCCCTTAGATTGTCAAATTAAAAAATGACCGCAGCCAACTCAACAACAGCCATCCAGTGTGAATGAGTCAAAATTATACCTATTTTTTTTGGTCAGATTGGCAAAAAATGTATTTTTGGGTGTGTCACAGAATTTTAGTAATTACTTTGTGTGTGCCATGAGGTGAAACAGGTTGAAAATTGCTCCCCTAGAAGGTTTGGGGCCAGGCCACCTAATGTGTGTACCTAAGTGTATTCATTCTAATAGGAACACCACGGAGGCAGAAAGCAGGGGCGTGGGGACCAAGTTCTGCTGGGAGGCCAGAGCGCCCTTCTGCGGGGCGCGGTGGGGCTGCTCGTCCCCGGCGTCTTCCTAATCTGTATTCCCTTAGGCAGGACTGTTTAACCCGCGGTCCAGGGTGGCTGTGAGTGCGTCCAACCCAAAATTGTAAATTTACTTTAAACCTTTTTTTAGCTCATCAGTTCTAATTAGTGTTTGTGTATTTAATGTGTGGCCCAAGAAAACCCTACTTCTTCCAGTGCGGCCCAGAGACACCAAAAGGTTGGACACCCCTGTGTGGAGTTTCTCAGGCAGGTGAAACCCTAAATTGGTTCTTTGGTAAATAAATGTGTATCTTGATCATGCAGAATGTCTTTTGTAACACATCTGTCCTTCAGGGTCTCTTTCCCTTCCTTCCTTCCTTCCTTCCTTCCTTCCTTCCTTCCTTCCTTCCTTCCTTCCTTCCTTCCTTCCTTCCTTCCTTCTCTTTCTTTCTTTCTTTCTTTCTTTCTTTCTTTCTTTCTTTCTTTCTCCTTCCTCCCTTCCTCCCTTCCTCCCTTCCTTTTTAAAGAAGGATAACATAACTAAACGAATCTGTCAGGGCCATAGTTTTGGTGCCTTATTTTTGAAAGTACCACACAGCTGCAAATGCTTGGGCAAAGCCCATTTGAAAGATAGCGTGACCATGAGGGACTTGCGTCTTCCTGCTCGGGGCCACTTCAGCTGGATTCATCACGGGCGCCGGGGGTGATGATCACAAGGTGGGGACTCCAGGGGGTCCTTTTCTTGGCTGGAGTGTGCAGCAGTTTCACTCTGTAGTGAAGATGTGAGTGAAAGAGAAAGGTGAAGGGAGGAAGAAAGCAAACAGATGGGGAAGGAAAGAAGGATGGATAGTAAGAAGGACAGACAGATGAACCAAAGAATTTTACTTCTCCTTACCTGGCAAATGCATGTTCTCTCTGCTGCTAAGGAGGGAAAAAATGAACTGTGGACTATTAACACTAAAGCCACCATAACCACTTTTCTAGTAACCACTGGATGACCTTCAGTCATACAAGAGTTGTATACTGTTTGGTTAAGGACTTGGTAAAGCTTCCCACTGTTTTTAAGTCCCCTTTTATGTTCATTGGACCTCATGGTGCAGGTTGATCAGCGTCAAGGATGGTGGGAAGACAGCCGCACACCATGTAAAAGATATCTTGTCCCAGCATCGCCCGGGATTCACAGGAGAGCCTTTCTGAAAGCTGTCTAGGAAAGCCTAGAATTGCATTCTGGAACAACTCAGTGTGTGTGTGTGTGTGTGTGTGTGTGTGTGTGTGTGTAGATGTCACCTGTATGAAACGTCAGCCAGCCACCGAGCATGACTCTCAGTTTCCACTGAGCGTTTGGATCCCGTGCACACGGGGCTCCTTTTTGCCCAGAGAGGCACGTCCTACAAGAGGCTGAGTGGATATGGGTCAGCCACACCTTATTCCTTCTGATTCTGGAAAGGAGCAGGGAGGCACGTGGAGTGCTCTTTCTCATGCTAAATTACAATATTGGGTCTCTTCAAAGACTGTCCTTGAATTTATTCATCCTTTAGAGGGCTCATGTTTAAAGGAAAAAGAACTGCTTCGGAAATTACAAGTCTTGCCTCAGGTCATGGCTCTGCCTCAAATTAGCTGAGGAAAGTTGGGTGTCACTTTCCTCGTCTGTAATAATGAGGGAATTTGAAAAGATGGCATCACCTGCTCTATCTCATTCTATATTAAATCGCTATATTAATTATAGTATGCATTACATACCTTTCCTACCTGATTGAATTGTGGCGTCATAAGCTCATGGCAGACTGTATATAATGGAGGATGATAGAAATGTACACTCCAGCGGAACTCGGGGTTAATCACTGGTCGGTGTAAAGCTATTATGAGCCCCCCAGAGAGTGTGACTCGTCAGGGTCCAGGGTTCGTGTGAAGGAGTGTAGAGTGATATCTCTTCTTTGCCCCTCGAGTTCAGATTTTCTTTTTAAATCATACGTATTTCTATTAAGTTTTATTCAGCACCATCTATATATTTATTGTTAATCACCTACTACTCTTTCAAAGTCTATTTGGTTAGAAAATACCTTCAATTTGTACACAATGAATTTCTCATTTCTGCTGCTGATTGTAATAATAATCCAAATACCCATTAGAATTATTCCTAGTTCTTATGTTAATATAAATGTTAGTAACAATGGAATTTATTGTCCCAAAATACTTTCACAGGAAGCTTTTTCTAAAGGGGAGAGGTTTAATATAAATGAAAGTGTCTTCTTATGGCTGTGGAAATTACTCACACATTGAATATTGTCTTGTCTCTTTTTCCCCACCACGTGATGGTACCTGTAGACACAGGAAGGCTACAGGTATTCAGTTTTTGCTGGTTTGAAACAGGAATCCTAACACACTGAGTAGAATGTAGGACACAATGGGGGGACTTGGTAACTTTTTATTGAATAGAGGAGTAAGGTAATGGATGGATACTGAGGTTTTTTTCATATTCATTTGAAGTTCACTGTGAACATAGGTATGGTCCTTACGTACAAAACAAATTTTAGTTATTTTATTGTATTAAATGCCTTCAGTTGTATGTCGACGTTGCCATAGACATTATCTCCATGCAGATAAGTTAGGTGATGTTAGGGGTTTAGTAATAGACTAGGCTCCTTTTCAATTTTAGGGCATTTCCTTATTGGAGTGTGCAAATGTGGTGTTACTTCTGAGACGTACATCCTGAAACCAGTATTAGCAGGGCCCTGAGAAATGCGGGCTTGAACTGACATATTCTCATGATGAGTTAGGATGGCAAGAATGGGAGTTGAACTTCATGTCATTGTTATTGTAAGCAATGCCCTCTATTTGCTTGTGCCTTCCTCCTGCGATGACCATCACTAGTTTTTAGCTCACCGAGCGTCCTGGGGGGGGAAATGAGGGCTGGGACACAGTATGTGCTTGGGACGTGCATCGCACTCAAAAAATGTTGTGACGAGGACTGGGAAAATACGAGGTATTGTGAGATCCTGGTGAATTTAACAATTTTCTGTAGAGTTGACCAATCGTAGTATATATTGAAAATTCACTGTTGGTATTGATGATGATGATAATGATGATAAGGTTAATGCCAAGGTTTCTTCTAAAACAGCGTGGCCTCCCCAGTGTTAAGGTTCAAAGTGTTTCTAACGAGTCCCACAGAGCCTCGTCCGACCTAGTCCACTCGCTACTTCCCCAGCTTTGTGTGATGACGCTCCTCAGGTTCACGTTGCTGCAGTCGCACCAGCGGTTCAGAACACTGCTGCCAGCTCCTTCACACTGTGGAGCCTTTGTGTGCGTCGTATGTTGTTCTTTCAGGAACTCTCTGAGCCCTTACGATAAACCCCTGCTTATCCAGATTTTAGCTTCAAGTGACTTTTTCAGAGATGTCCAAACCCGATACCTCTCCCTCAGCCCGTCCCTTGTTGTGCCCTGGTGATTGTGTAGCTGGCCGTTGGGCCTGTGTCTCTGCTCTTGGCATTTGAGCTTTGTGGGGCAGGTGCCGGCTTGCTTACCCCTGCGCAGGCTGTACCAGAGAGCGTGGCCTAAGGATGTGCTCGGTAACTATCTGCTGAAGCAAATGAGCGTCAGATCATCCGAAATTCAACTAAATTTTTTTGTTTTCTGTTTCTCTCTCTTTAGCTGGGAAGTTATCAATTCCAAACCAGATGAAAGACCCAGGCTCAGCCACTGTATTGCAGAATCATGGATGAATTTCAGCATATTTCTTCAAGAAATGTCTCTTTTCAAACAGCAGAGCCCCGGCAAGGCAAGTGCTGCCCTATAGGAGAATTACTGTGCACTTTAAAACGTGTAGTAAACTTAGAAACAAATGAATTAACTTATTGTATCAGCTTGTGAGTGTTTTCCAATTCAGCTTATAATTTTCTGCAACACATGCCACAGCAGTTGGCATTAGCAAGGTTCAGAAATAGTAGGGCATCAGCATGAGGAAAACATCAACCTCATATTTTGAAATTGGATTTGGTTTTCTATTTTTTTACATATTTTTCTAGCTCCTTAACTAAATTGAGTAGCGACTGGTCTTGTCATCCAGACCGAGAAGAAAAAACATCCTACGAAGAATTTCAGTTTCTGGTATTTAGCCTGGTCCCGAAGTTGAAGGGTGAGGAAATGAACACATAGTCCTAGGGGGGGGCTTTCGGAGACAACTGAGTCTCACTTTTAATCTAAAAAGTAGAGTTTCTTACATTGCTTGTGTAAGAAATAAACTTTGACAAAAAATTGCAGTGATTATATAAATGGAATGAGTAGTTTTCCAAGTAGGATGAACCCCCAGGGAGAGAGGAGTCCTAAGTGGTTTGAAAGGGAGCCCACTGAGAAGCACGCACACTTGTGTTACCTTCGTGCACAGAGGCAGCTTCCGCTGCGACCTGAGAGCAGGGGGAGGTGCGGAGCCATCGGCGGGCGGGCCCTGGCCTCCCTGTGTCCTGTGTGAGTGTCTCGACCACCCACCTGTAGTTGCAAAGGAGAGCCTAGGAGTATCGGCGTTTGTGGTCCCTCTCGTTGTACCAACTGCAGGCACACTCTCAACTTCAGTACTGGTGCTAAGTAGTAGAACTATCCTTGGACACATTTTGAATATATTAAAGTAGCAAGGTTGTGTATGGATAGGTTTTTTTAGAGCAGATATCCTTTGGGGGGAGTGCGTTTTTTGCCCACTTTATCAAAATGATTGAACATTTTTAGGAGGTTCTGACCTTAAAGCTTCATTGGATTGCCTTAATAGGCTCCAAGTTAATTAGCTTGAGAGGATGATGCTACAGATTCAGAGGATAATATGAAATCTCTTTGCAAGACTGAATTCTGAGTACATTAATGTTTTTGTAGACTTACTTGTTCTTTCAAGTTTTAAAATCTTTTCTCCTCCATTTTACTAGTAGAATGCCATATTCTTCAAGGGCTCCTGCTACTTCAGAAATAGCTGTTAATTTAGTTTCTCAAGTTCATCTTTTTGACCCATTAGTTAATAAACTAATTCTCCTTTTGATGAGTTAGTTTATTAACTCCATGCCAAAGAATGAAACATCAAAGTTCATCTGAATTGCAGACCTTCTTGCTCTTCCTCTTATCAGTTATTGATCCGTTACAAACCCCTTATTTGTGTGGTCTTCCTCAGATTTCCTTATTTTCTTGCTCACCAGTTTAAATGTAATACTATAATTAAAGCAAAAGAAGATAGTTTATTTTTATGACTAGAGTGTGGAAAATACATGAAGACTTTATGAGAGAATTTTGCTATCTTCATGTTTAAAAATTTTTAAACAATCTAGAATTTTGGGGGGGTTGTGACTGACAGGAGAAACATAATCGCATTTCACTGTAGGAATTTCATTTCATTGGCAGTTGGTTTCTAGGTGACGTAGCCGGGAGTAGATCTCCTACAGTTACCAGGGAGATAGTGATGGCCAGAAGGGTGATCCCCAGCAGCCCATCTGCTGTGCAAATTACCGTTAACATTTGCAGGAATGCCTCTAATTTCTGTAATGTGTTTTGCTGTGTTTATGAATTTCGGTGGGCTCACAGAAGTAAATAGTTTGAACCCGCAGATGTAGCTACCAGGCTGCTTTATATTCAGTGAGTGATCCTGAATAAAGGAAGTTTCCGGGGGCACGTAAATCTTCAGTCTCCTGCATCTGGCAGTAATGCAGCCCCAGACATGATTAATGGAAGACAGTGTGCTCTGTGCCAAAATGAGCTTCTGGAACGTCAAAATGATTATTGCCAAGTGTGAAAATGGACCACGGCTGGTTGAGCACTGCAGTCGTTAGTCAGAACTAAGAGCAAGAGAACACCGAAAACCACTGGGCATGATGTAACAGATCGCATACAGATGAGTACCTGGGTGTGCACCCTGTGCTCTGGACTGTCTTGGTGTTATGCATAACTGTCTCGTATTATTTCTCTGGTTTCTAGTTTTGTCTCCTGGTCTGCAGTGTGTGCACCTTTTTCATGATCTTGGGAAGTTACATTCCTGGGGTTATACTCAGCTATCTCCTCCGTAAGTATGGAACGTCTGGCTACTTTGTGTGGTGCATGTGGTATCATTTAATGGTCAACGAGACCTTCCACAGTTTGGGAGATGAGGGATGAGTACTTAATTACAAACAAAGTTGATTATTCTTTCATTTCCCTATGTACACATTTTCTCCTTTTCCTAGAGATCTGTTTATATTTTAAAATCAGAGGGATACTTGCCAAAAGGCAGGATTATAAAGTGGTTGACTATATTTTAAATTACGTTTTAAAATGATAAGTAAGCTATACTCCCCACTCCCACAGATGCACAAATAGTTTTGCCCTTGTGCATGTTCTGTGGCTCAAAAAAATCATTAAAACCACAACGAGATGCCATTAACCAGAATAGTTAAAATTAAAAAGACCGATCACATCATGCTCATTAGCAAGGCTGTGGAGCGACTGGGATTCTCATACTGTGGGTGGGCGTGTAGCATGCATGGTACAGCCACTCTGGACATCAGCTTGGCAGTGTCTTAAAAACGACTGTATGTCCCAGCCATTCCACAGTGAAGTGTGTACCCAGGAACAGTGAAAGCATTGGTCTCAAAAGACTCATACACAGATGTTCACAGCAGCTTTCTCTGTAGTAGCCCCAAACAGAACACAGTCCATATATCTATCAACAGATACATGGATAAAGAAACCGTGGTCTATCCATTCAATGGATTGCTACTCAGCACTAAAAAATTAATACATGCAGCAATATGGATAAATGTCAGAATAATTAGATTGAGTGGGAGAGGCCAGATTTTTTAAAAGTATATGAGGTCTGTCCAGAAAAAATCCAGCCACTGTTAATATAACAAGAACAGTTTGTGAGACATTGATGTAGCCAGGCAGCCGAGGAATGTGGACTGGAATGTGCATGTGTGAACAATGGTGACTTCACTGTTTTAGCTGGTGGGGGTGGTAGACAGCATTCAGTGAGCATGTGTACTCTGTGGCTGTCACATTTAAAATGACCAAGCAAGTAGAGCAATGAATCGGTACCATATTTTGCATTAAGCTTGAACATTCCTCCGTGGAAAGTATTTGGATGGTTCAGAAGGCTGCAGCTATGGGCAACTGGTGGTCAACACATATCAAATTGTACACTTTATATATGTGCATTTATTGCACATCAACTGTAACTCCAAAATGCTGCAAAAAAGTGTAGATTTCCTGCTTCTCCTGAAAAATACGATTTAGGGCTGCCACCTTTGGATGGTGTGTACGTGCCCCATTTCACGAACCCTCCTATTTTCCTGTTTTTCTCACACCAGCGTTTAAAGTTTACATATACCACCTTGGCTTCTAGAGGTATTTGAGTTTGCAGCTCCTGATTAAAAGGTAACTAGACACGTTTCCTAACCACAACAAAGAAGTAAATACGAGGAAGACAATACAAGCTTCATTTCTTTCTGTATTGCTGATGCATGACAGATGGCAAACGGTCCGAGCTCACATCTGTTCTCCCCAGTAGAACCCATGTAGCATATCAGCCTCTGGATCTGCCTTGCTCCGCAGGCAAAGGGGAAGAGAGCCCGAGAAGGAGAGTGTAATGTGGGCAAGGTGTGATTCAGGTGGCTTGCGTCATCTCATCTGTCCTTCACAACGGTCCTGAAATTGTTATTATCCCAATATATCCCGAAGTGAGAGGCAAATAAATAGTAACTTTCCCACAATGCAGTGGCATTTAACAGATAAGTTAGACAGTCCCTCTAGGGCTGTTTGGAAATCGTGGAATCTTTGTGTACATTGTGAGGGCCAAAGGATTAAAGGGAGGGAGTTGATCTGATTGCAAGTCTTTGAAAACAATGACTATAAACATGGGGGGGGGTGGGTATGCAAGTATGCCCGATTAAATGTGTTTATTACAGGGGGAAGAATTGAAATTATGAGCGTATTTTATAGAAGCATTTCCCTAAGAAAAATCCTATTTGTCAGTAAAAGAACTGAAATATTTTAACAGCATACAAAGATGTAGCCTTTTGAAGTAAAGATCATCTTACCCAAACTCTCTTCCTCCTTGTATTTCAGTACTGTGTGCCTTTTTGTGTCCCTTGTTTAAGTGTAATGATATGGGACAAAAGATGTACAGCAAAATCAAGTCAGTTCTGCTGAAACTGGATTTTGGAATTGGAGAATATATTAACCAGAAGAAACGTGAGAGATCTGGTAGGTAAAGTTCGACTTCTAGATTCCACCTGGGAAATGAGACATCAACAAGCTATTATTATGAAATCACCTTCAGTACATTTCAGGGCGTTAAAACGCCTTTTTACAGCACATTACTACTGAAGTTAGTCCCCCCCCCCCCCAAGTAACATAGTCTTTTCCTGTTTAGATTTTTATTCTTTTCTGAGACTTACAGTGAATTGACTTTTTAATTAAATTGTCAGGGGAGGGAGAAAAAGATTCAACCATTCTGTACATGCTACTCATGATTTACTCACTTCAATTTGCTTTATTTGGGGCTGGGCTATTGCAAAATAAAAATGACACAGGTAAGGACTGAGAGTATGGGCACTATCGGAGAAGAATCAAAAGAATGGAAAGGAGAAGAAAACACATAGAGGAAGAACCCATGTGATCAACTTTCACTTTTTCACTTGTCCTGACCTTATAGATTCTCAGACTACAGCAAGCAACCCAGTGGCTAGGAAGGCTTATTACAGCATAGATTGCCGGGCCCTGCTCTGAGCTTCTGGTTCAGCTGGTCTAGGGTAGGGCTTGAGAATGTGCATTTCCAACAAGTTCCCAGGGGGGCAGAAGCTGCTGGTTCAGGGACCGCACTGTGAGAACCACTGATGTGGACCATTTCCCTTGGAAATCAGACCCTTGCCAATATGTGAAGCTTGAACCTTTAATTCCATGGAAGCTCTGGAGGAAATGAGGAATGTGGGTAAGGGTATGTAATGGATAAAATACACTCTGTCTAAGCTGGCTGGGAAACTGAAAGCTTCCAAATTTTTTCTCAACAGAAGCAGACAAAGAAAAAAGTCACAAAGATGACAGTGAATTAGACTTTTCAGCTCTTTGTCCTAAGGTATTTTTTTTGTTGTTTAGTTTTCAATTTGTTCCTGTGTAGTTTGACTGTAAATTTATTTACATGCACTAAAGCGGAATGATTTTCCTAATAGACTCCTCCTATTTCTCTAAGATGATCAAACAGTTCTGAAAGGAAAATACTCATATGGTTTTTATTATTCTGACATTTTTGGTGTTAGTAGGGAGTTTTCAGAGTATTTGCCACAGGAGTTTACAGCACGCTGCTGGCCTTTATGTTGACACAGATTAGCCTGAGGGCGGCCGCCAAGGAGTTGTCCGTGTCTGACACAGATGTGTCCGAGGTCTCCTGGACTGACAACGGGACCTTCAACCTTTCAGAAGGGTACACACCGCAGACAGACACTTCCGATGGTGGGTTCACATTTCTCCTTTTCCTGTTGTTCTGAGTGCATGCCGAAATGTTTAACTCTGTCCACTGCTGGGTGGGTAAACAAAGTGGGGTGTGTTTGCAGTGGACTACACTTGGCTATCAATATGAGGTTCTGACACTTGCTACAATGTAGATGAGCCTTGAACACTAAGGCGAAATGAAAGAAGCCAGACACACAAGTCTGTGTGAGTCTGTTTATGTGACATGTGCAGAATAGGCAAGGCCACACAGATGGAAAGTGGCCATGTGGCTGCCGTGGGGCCTGGGGTGAAGGGAAAGGTAGCTGGTAATTACTGTGGGTTCCCCCTTCCTCCCTCCCTTCCTTCCAGTTTCTGTTTGGAATGATGAAGATGTTCTAGAATTAGATACAGGCGATGATTGTACAGCTTTGTAAATATGTATATTACAAACCACTGAATTGTACACTTTAAAGGAGTAAATTTTACAGCGTATGAATTATACCTCAAAAGCCACAACTTTTTGATGAGAAAAAAATCTAAGCAAGTCCATATCCAAAATCTGCCTTTATTTTGAAAACAATAAATATCGACAGTGAACAAAATGAACGTCTTGATATATCTAGTGACATACAGCAAGCTTATATCAACTGTGGGAAGAGGGGAAGAGAGAAGCTAATCAGAAATATCCAGGGCTGGTTCTTGCTAACAGAGATGGAATCATGGAGCGCAGACTCCCTGAGTCCAAAGCTGACTCCAGGTTTCTCATGTTTTTCTTCAAAGTTAGTTTAAAATTAAAAAAAAAACAACTTATTTTTAATAATAAGGTTAAATGCAAGAACATTTTTCTAGAGGAAGGAGGGAAGTGGTGCGGGGTTTGAAAGGAGACAGGTCGGGGGACTAGGAGACCCTAGTGTTAGCTCCCTTTGTAATTAGCTAACTGTATGTCCTTAAGCAGGTGACAGAATTTGTGTGGACCTCAGTTTCTTCATCTTTAAAGTGCATTGGAACACGAGGATCTTTGAGATCCATGGAAGCTCTATAAACTCTCAATATCCACAAGACCTGGAGAACAAAACACTTTGTTTTTAAGCATCTCATCCCAGACTTACACAATGAAAGGGCAATAATAACCCAGCCCACAGATGAGACTTCCATAATTAGATTGAATATTTCAGATCACTGTTGTAAGGAGTTAACCATTATACTGAAAGATTTTCTATGAAAAGTGAAAAACAATAAAATCACTGTTTGCCTATGGAGCAGGCATTGCTTTCAAATGTCCTGAATCTTAAAAGTGTCTCTATGTATATATATTCAGGACATGAGTTTGGTTAAAATGATGTGGTCAATTTCAGCTATATTTATGGGAAGTCAGATGTTTCCATATGTTCTGAGGTTGGACATGGGAGAGAAGGAGCAATAGCTTCTTCTAACTCATCGCTTTGAACAAACACAGGTTACAGACACATAGATGGATCTTGATGGATGAAAATGCTAAGATTGGGGAATATTCCACACCTGCTGTTGCAGATACCACGAAACCTCCAGTTGAAATATTTTTTATTTTGTGCTCATACGTATCTACATTGGCTTAAGCTAATTTCCTCCCCCGGAAACAGGATGAAATTTTTGTTTATGGTGAATGTTTAAACTTCAGTCAAAAAGCTTCAAGCTAACATTAGGTTAAATGTTGTCATTGCGTACACTGCTTTGTGCTTCCAAGGAAAGTTAAAGATGGGGGGGCACGTGGTGTTTGTGTGCTTATGGATAGGCAGTGTCCCAGATTCGGGAGGGGTCCAGCGTGTGTGGTTGAGTTGATTTCAACTTTTACTTCAGCTCTTGCATTTCAAATTCATGCACGTGCTTAAACATGAACTTCTGTTACGCATTTCACAGATCTTGACCGACCGAGCGAGGAAGTCTTCTCTCGAGGCCTTTCAGATTTTCCATCTCTAGAAAATGGCATGGGAACAAACGATGAAGAGGAACTAAGCTTCGGCTTGCCCACGGAGCTCCAGAGAAAGAAGGAACAGTTGGGCAGCGGTCCCAGACCCAGCAGAGAGAGGCAGTCAGCAGCTGGTCTCACTCTTGCTCTGAGCAGTGACCAAACCTTTCAACTGATGAGCAACCTGGCGGGGGATGTCATCACAGCGGCAGTGTCTGCCGCTATCAAAGACCAGATGGAGGGCGTGCAGCAAGCCCTTTCTCAGCCTGCGCCCAGCCCAGGGGAGGATGCAGACACTGAAGAAGGGGATGACTTTGAACTCCTCGACCAGTCAGAGCTTGATCAGATCGAGAGTGAATTGGGACTTTCACAAGACCAGGAAGAAGCGCAGCAAACTAAGAAGTCTTCAGGCTTCCTTTCGAATCTACTCGGGGGCCATTAGTCTGGAATCGGCTTGTACGACAGAGCACAGATAAACTACCCAAAAATTTCAAACAAGGAAAAAAAAAAGGAAAATATGTTTTTGAACTGTGAGCTTTACTGATTACTTTAGATTATTTTGTCTTATTTTCCCTTCTGCAGTGAATTAATTGGATATGTATCAGCTGACACTGATGGATTGATATCTCTGGTAGTTATTTTTATGTAATGAGCATGGAAATGAAAAAATATATATACATACATATATATATATATACACACACATATATATATATACATGTATATATACAGTTGACCCTTGAACAAACGGGTTTGAACTGTACAGGTCCACTTTTTTGTGGATTATTTTCAATAAATACTATAAATGTATTTTCTCTTATAATTTTCTTAGACATTTTTGTTTTTTTTAGCTTTCTTTTAAGAATATAGTATATAATACATATACAGTATGTGTTGATCAACTGTTTATGTTATCAGTAAGGCTTCTGATCAATGGTAGGCTATTAGTAGTTAAGTTTTGGGGGGAGACAAAGATATATGTGGAGTTTTGACTATGCCCCTGACCCCCGCATTGTTCAAGGGTCAATTGTGTGTGTATATATACACACATGCAAACATATACATACATCTATAAACATATACATACATATTATGCTTTCAGAGATGACTATTAGGGGGTGTTTTTAAAGCAAAACGAAAGCACCAAATTATTGACATCCTTCCATAAAACTACTCCTTATGTTTTCTTCACAATTACTTTTTCAAGCATGCAAAAACAGTTTATTGTAACGCACTGAAATATTAATAATTAATCGTGAATACATGCTGTATCAGCTCCTTTGTTCCTAATACTTAGAAACAGATAAACCTTTTTGATATTTTGTTGTAAAAAGACAAAAAATATCAGACAGGGCATTTTTAGTTGAAGGACTTGGGAAAGAATATCAAAATTAATTTCCTAGGAAAAATTCTTAAAATGTATTCAACTCCTTGGGATAAGCTGGTACATTTCCATGTTATTTCGGTAGTTGTAGACTTAGGCTTCCTTCTCCATGACGTGCTGTATACACTGCCAGCTGTGGTCCTGCCGTGGGTGATAGTAACCCATCAAGAGCAGTTAATTATGTATCACGTAGACAGTGGTTTTGATGTAAACAGATTGGGCTATGTTTTTGTGGTTAAATTGTTTAGCATTTGTAATAGGGTTCTTGTGAGTGCAGATCTGTTCTGTCTGCTCAGATGTAGGTTAAGCCCTCGTGTTTGATATAGTGTCATGGAAAATGTCTCTTAAAATCCTGAAACTAGTTCCCAGCCTGTTCTGTGAGTGATGTGGTCAGCAGCAGTAGAGCAGCAATAACTGCTTTTGTAGTTTGTCTAGGCTCTCCTACAGGAGAAAAATTAGCTTGGCTTTAAGGTGTATTTATTTACTATTGAAGTCTAAATATTTAATCTATTTCTCATTGGGAAGCTAGAATATATTTTTCCATTCTTTTTAGATCACCTTTAAATAACCAGATTTGACTTCGGTTTTTTAACAAAGGACTAAAGAGCAGAAATCGAGCTAATTTTGTTTTTGTGATCCAACTTTTACTGATGTCGAGGGACCATGCCAGCAATAGCAACCAACAATCTCTTCAATCTTCAGGTTCAGCTGGCATTTCTACAGATGCCTACAGACATCTGAGACCCTCAGAAAGGAAGGATAATCCAAGAATCTAGGAAATCTGTGGTCCCCTCTGTTTGTTTTATCCCTTTCCTTATATTTCTAAAGACTACTTGTAGGTAATCTGACATTTTATTGTAGCGTATCTTATTTATTTTTTCTTTCTGAGGTATTAAAATATCTAGACTGAATTTTGCCAAATGTTAAAGGGGGAGAGGTTACTGAAGACTTTGAACACCTGCTTTTCGTGATTGACTGTGCTATGTCATTGGTGCCTCATGACTGTGTTTGATGTCCTTTACTGACACAAAGTGAGCCTGTGCCTTCATTATCTTGCCCATTTTGGAACAAATGAAAACTTGGTGTTAGATCTATGAACTGTGTGCTTTTGGGAAGAACATACCTGAATTCTATCCAATAAGTTTCTGGACATGAAGAAAAATACAGTCACATATTTATAAAATAGTTGTGACCAGGGTTCTTTTTTTTTTTATGTGTTTGCTTCTTTTTTAAAAAAAATTTTAATTTATTTATCTTTAGAGGGGAAGGGAAGGAGAGAGGGAGGGAAATATCAATGTATGGTTGCCTCTTGTGCATCCCTGCTGGGAACTGGCCTGCAACTCAGGCATGTGCATTGACTGGAAATCGAACCACAATCCTCTGGTTCACAGGCCTGCACTCAATCCACTGAGCTACACCAGCCAGGGCTATGTGTATGCTTGTTCGTTTAAAAAACATTTTTGGCCATGAAGTAAAAAAGCTTAAAGGTCATTTCAGTTTCTTTACTGAAGGGAAAACAAGAACTTAATCCAGGTAATTAAAGGATGTGTTACAAGTCAGTGGACAAGCTTACAAGAGAAGATAAACTCAAGAGCTGAGAGTGTGAACAATGTACTAGAATCAGTTGTTATTAACTACATATTAGAAGGGACCTGGGGAGGGGGAGGGCATGAGGATAGGGGAGGGAAGAAAAATGTGTTATACTAGCAGAATGGGGGAGACACACTAGCTCGCTAGGACAGCAGCATTATAACCATATACGCATTCAGTTTTATTGGTTCAAGATACAATTACAAATTTACACAACGCAGTAATGGTATTCTTAATTCAAACAATTGGGGATGGCGAGGGTTTTTGTTTTGTGTGTGTCTATGCCTGTTGTTTGTTTGTTTTGGTGGGGGACCATTATATATAACCTTGCTTCTGATTTTAAGATTTAGTAACAATAAACCCTGTGATTGATCCCATATAATAGGGGACTGTATATCCCTTACCATGAGGACTTACGCAGTCATTAAAATTTGAAGCATGGATTTTTTAAAAATTGTAGAGCTGTAGAGAAATGGTTTTGCTCATTTCTGGTAGAAGATGCTCAGCAGAACCATACGATGGGAATAGCAAACATTGATCATGCATTTTGATCCAAAACAGTAGAGCAGGGCCCAAGAAGGTCATGCCGGCTCTGGAAGATCAACTCAGGGTTAAAGCAGTGTGCATATTCTTATTCTGAAACATCTTTGCTTTTTTCTGACCCCCAAAATCTTCAAAAGTGATTTTTTAAAAAACCGATCTCCCCAGTTTAGTATTCTCTTAGGAAAAGACATTTGTACAAGGTGTTGCAACTGGCAAACATCCTCAACACATTTAGGCATCTCTCTCCAACATCTGACATAAGTGCAACTTTCTTCCTTTTAAAAAGGTGCATGCCAGCATCCTGATTTTAGGCAGGAAGCAAATCTACATTTAAGAAAAAGTGATTGAAATGTTTTCCTTTTCTGTTTATAACTTAGGTTGATGTAGTCTTTACACTGCTCCAACTATATTAGTTATAAGATAGAATTATTCTGAAAACCATCTCTAAACTGTTGTCAGAGGTCATTTGTTACCATGATGAAGTTAGTCCCAGGACTATATTTTGTGTGTTATCTCCCTATTTCCACCAAAACATTTCGGTTGGTATGGAATGTCAGAAGGACACGTTCTGGTTCTGATGTTAATAGTACGACCCTAAGGCACAATGTCAAAGTCACCTCACATCCCCAGACCACCACCTTATTTTCTCTAAGCATACAATTGGAAAGCTAATTCTTATCTTTTCACACAGGGGTGTTTTGAGAGTGAATAGGAGGAAAAAACATTTGAAACACCTTCAGGGGATGAAAAAAGCTATAGAAAACATAAAACCAAGATAGTGATTTTTTTTCCTGCCTGTGTTTCAACTAAGCCATCGACAGGTGCCTAACACAGGAAAACTCTTAGTTTTTCTTAGTGGGCTTCCCACTTTCTTGGCCTCAACCCAGTAAGCGCTGTGGAATGAAGGGTGAACAGTTTTGCAAAAATGCCTATTTCAGTTGAGACTGGACCATGGGTAAGATTCTACACAAGTTATTTTAAGTGGTTCTAACACTTACTGCTTGTGACTCTACATCACCTAACATCTCTGAACCTATTTGCTTGATCTGTAAAATTAGGGTATAACACCTACCTCACAGTATGCTATGAGAATTCAGTTTGTAAGGCAGATTGGCAAACTACGGGCCTGCCACCTGTTTTTGTGTGAAGTACCAATGAAGGTGATTTTTTTACACTTTTAAATAGTTGGAAAAATCAGAAGAATATTTCATGACATGAAAAATACATAAACTCAAAATGCAGCATTCATAAATAAAGTTTCATTAGAATAGGCTACATTCATTTCTGTACGCCTGTGACTGCGTTCATGCTATAATAAACTGAATAGTTTGACAGAGAACACAGGCCTACAAAGCCTAAAATACTTACTGTCTGGTCTATTATAGGAGAAGTTTGCCAACCCTTGGTTTAATACATAGAAAACACTCAATTCCAGTTAGGATTGTGTGTAATCTTCATGACTACCGTTACGTGCGACTAAGAGCATTTTTATTGTAGAAGGATGGGTTTAAATTGCCCAAGGCCACAGAGCTAGTAAGTGGAAAAGCCAGTTTGACCCCAATGCCTATTCTCTTTCTAATGTCATATTATCAAATGTTTAACAATATAAGTGATCATAATTTCAAATAGTTTAACAAAATTTTACTAAACATGAATTATTTTAATTTTTTCTTTTTTTAAAGAATCCAGAAACCACCTGATTAATATATTTTAAATGCTGTAATAACCAGGTTTTTCTGCACATTCCAGTTCCTCATTAATTTAAAAACAAAACTTTGCATTTCTAGAAACCTAAGACTAAGAAGTAGTAAAATGTCTTCAAATTTTTTATTGGAAAAATCACAGTACTTACCGTTTTTTATGAACACAGAATTCACAGTAACTGTAAACCACTTATTCAATGCATGTCAGTTTTATATTCTGTATTTGTCACCCCCGGAAGGTAACCTCAGCCACCCTCCCTCCTTTACAGTGTTCCTTTTAAAAACCAAGTTGCTGCTACAATACAGGAAGTGAAGAGTAGTAGACCTGAGACAAGCAAATATTGTGATCACTCTATTAACTGACTTGAAGGTGACCTTGCTAACTTTCCAAAATGTTGCGATAATCAAAAATCCACACCCCAACGCCTCCCGAGACTGAAAAGGAACCAGCCACATCGTCACGGGCGCTGTCACGACTACAGCACACACCGTAACCTCAGCAGTTTGTAATGAGTCACCTAAAGTGAACTGACGGTGTCTGGGAGGAATTTGACTTTTCAATATTTTCAAATTAATTTCTCCATGGGTGGTCTCAGTTTAAATTATTCAGTAGGGTGATAAATTGGTAATAAGTATTCTTGATAATACTGTGAGCAGAGATGAGACACAGTACTCTACTACTCAGGACGTGTTGTGGAAAATTTAACTCAAAGATCCCTCACTGATTGGCTTGCGTTTGCCAGACAGCTGTTCCGGGATTTTTTTTGTCCCCCCCTTGTGTGTATTGCTCTAGCACTGCTCTAGTATACGGCAGTGAAAGGCATCCCTGCTCTCACCTGGCTTATAGTCCAGATGTGGGTGATGAACATATAATGTGACTAAATCATTCTTGTTTTCCCAGGTGGAGGGGTTTCCTGGGACACAAGATGTTCAGTGCTAACACTGGGAGATCAGTCACAAATAGCAAGTGCTAGTGGTGGCCAGTTTCCCAAAATGGTCCCCAAAGACAATCTACTCGTGCCCCTATTGGACCCCTCCCACACTGAATATGGCCGACCTTTGTTAGTCATGTACTGAATAATGTTTTGCTAAAAAATGGACCACATATATGAGGGTGGTCACATAAGATAATAATGGAGTTGAAAAATTTTACAGCCTAATGACATCGCAACACATTACATGTTTGTGGTGAGGCTGGTGTGAACCTGTGCTGCCAGTCATGTAAAAGTATAGCACGTACAGTTATGTACAGTACAATACATAATACTTGATAATAATAAGACACGGTCACTGGTTTACTTTTTGTGAGAGTGTTCACTTTCCAATGATAAAAAGTTTGCTGTAAAACATTATCCCGTGTTCTGCCAGCAGCATCCTCATACATCTCCTCTTTACCACACCTTGACTGCATCATTTTTCTCATACTTGATTTAGTCTCACATTGTTTTGTGTATTAACCTGCTGTACTGGCTTGTAGCCTAGGAGCAGTGGGCTCTACCCTATAGTTTGGTTGTGTGGTAGGCCAGGCCATGCAGGTTTGTGTAAGTGCATCTATGATGTTCACATAACAAGACCGCCTATGTATGTTTCAGGATTTTCCCTGCACGTAAGCAGCACATGCCTGTGATAGCCATTGTGAGAACAACTGTGTGACTTCCCAGGCCAGGTCATAACAGACACTATGGCTTCCACTTTGCTCTTTTGGGAGGAAGCCAATTGTCACGAGGACACTGAAGCAGCCCTGTGGAGCAGTCAGCTCTGTGAGGAACGGAAACTTCTGGCCGTCAGCCTGTAAATGAGCCATCTTCCATGGAGACCCTTCAGCCACAGTCAAACCTTCACATGCCTTCGGCCCTGGACCACATGTTCACAATAATGCCCTGGTATCATGAGATACCCATATTCCTAATTTACAGAAGCTCAGATCATCAAAGTTTGTTCCTTTAAGCTGCTAAATTTGGGCTAATTTGATAGAGTAGTAAATAATATAGTGCTATAGAGAAAAGTTACGCTTAGTAAAAACAAGAATTGGGTGGGGGGTAGGCACTATATTTGACAAGAGGGTATGGATAGGACTTTCTTATAAAGGCATTTGGGCAGAAAACTTGAAGGAAGCAATCCAGCAAAAGAAGGTTCCAAACAGAGCTTAAAGGGTCTCTGAGACTCAGTACCAGCAAAAGATGTTGGCTTATCCATGTCAGAGCAACAACAGTTTCAATGTGACCGAAGTGGAGTGAGCAGAGTGGGGAAGAGGCTGTAGCAGGAGGGCAGAAGTAGGGGAAACAGTGGTGGCAAATCACATGGGACCTCCTGGAATAAAGTTGCTCATTCCAAACAAGCTGGTATAACAAAATACCATAG